AAAAAAAAAAAAAAAGTGAAGATTTACTAATACAAGTTTTGCTAATACCTGTTGATGGCCAGTCATACGAGTTTTCGGGTGCTTGCTGACAGCAGGCTCCCACAGGAACATGGTGAAATCATCCGAACCTGAAACCAACCTTTCCGGGGCACTGCCTTTCATCTTGTTGTACCTTTCTAGTGCTACCTAGTAGAAAAAAAGAGAGGCATTCAAAAGAGTTGCTGAAGAAAAAAGATGATATAAAAAAGAGAGGCATTCAAAGAGTTGCTGAAGAAAAAAGATGATATAAAAAAGAGAGGCATTCAAAAGAGTTGCTGAAGAAAAAAGACGATATAAAAATGTATAGCCTAAGGTGCAAAATTAATAAGGTAATTGCACTTCAATTATCTTTATTAACTTATTCTCCAACAACTGTTGCAATAAAATCAACATGTCCAAAAAGGCAGCATTTTGAAATAGATACAAATTAATAGTTAATACACACAGCTCAACGTCTAGTGCAGAAAAGCAAATATATCTATGAATAACTTCTCATAGAAGATGCTGAAGATAAATCGGTCACCTTCTTCATTTCCTCCGGAGACGTATATGTTTTGCCGGTATGGTCATATGCACCAGTTCGAAGAACATACTCGGTACTCAATGCTAGAGAATTCACCCAATGGCCATGGCCCTACACAATATGTAGAATACTGTTGAGTGGCAAAAAACAATATACCATATACAGACTTCGACAAAAATTACTGGAAGATGGTTGTGACATACCTCCCAAACAATATACTTAACAAATATTTAAGACTTTAACACAAACTCTTTTTGTGGCGAGACACGGAATAAAGAGTAAATAGCAGATAAATATATTTATATGCACTCTAACAGAACCAGAGAGATGTAGAGAAGATATTGTTGACTTGTTTAGAAGAATACCTTTAGTTCGCGTATGAGCTTCCCTTGTGAAGTTTCCCACATTTTAATTGTACAATCCTGAGATCTGTAAGGAAAACAGAGAAGATGTTTCATCACATAGAATTTTCTGTCACAGGCAAATAGAAAGCCTCAATGCCCTCCAAAGTCAGCAATGCTAGAAATTAATTTCCTCATTTACATGACCCACACACGAGCCCTTTGTGAGGTTCTAGAAGCTAGTTTTGGTTTGCGTATCAGGAAATAAAACTAATATAAAACTACGATAGCCCAATTCTGAACATATTAGAAGTTTCACATCAAGAATAACTGTGTGGAAACCCTGAGCCAGTAGAGCAAGATATTTACATTGGAAACAGGTTTATAATAAGAAAATTATAGGCATACCCTGTATATATGACTCCATCTCCACCCCACTTCACACATGTTATGGCAAGTGTGTGTCCTGTAAGAACTATAACACATTTTTTCAAGGTAACATCCCATATTCTTGCATCACCATCTTTACTTGAGCTAACAAAGCGGCGGGTTGGAGCACTAAGATGCACCGGCTCCCATGAAATTCCAGTTACCCATTTCTTGTGACCCTGAGAAATGAATCGTGTCAGAAATCTAGTCTTTTAGTGAATACAAAGTGTACATGGATAGATAATTTTTTTGTAGAAAAAATTGGGAGGGCAATGTGCAAATTTATAATAGTGACGGATAACTATTGACTGTTTTGGAAAATTAAACTAGCCACAAAATAAATGATAGCAGGGGATGTATGTATAGAGAAACACTAGAGCATGAAAGAGTTTTCCACAATATATAAATTTACAATTCTTGAAATTTCAAATATGAAAACGATATTTCATGCTTCCATTTAAGTGCATACTTTAAAATTACGAAGTAAAATTCAACTCTTGCAGGACTTGTGGTTGGTTGTTTTTGCCTTGAGATATTCCAAATAGATGAAGAAAAGAAAAAGACCAAAGAAAGAGAAAATAACATAATTTGCTAAGTTTCATTGATAAAAAATATTGATCCGAGAAAATTGATTGCATTTAAGGTAAAAAAATAATAACTCGTCAAAGATAACCCAGCACAATAAATAACAATATTATTTGAACTCACAGTAAGAGGGTTTCCTGATGGTTTGCCAGTCTGTGGGTCCCAGCATATTAGTTCTCCAGCCTTGCTTCCGCTAACAAGATGTTTACCATCTGGCGACCAAGCAATACAAAGAACCCAGTTTCTGTGACCTGCAAAGTTAGACAATTTTCGCTACCATAAATCTCTATCAAAATCAATACAGCCTAACTGCTATTTCTGATATCTTGCATGCTAATCAGATAAAACCACATAAGTCTCCTGAATATACTACTACGATGTGAAAATTTTGAACCAATACTAGAAATAGAAAATTAACGTGCAGATGGAGCACTCACTAGACACTAATACAGGGAACAAGATTATATAACCTTTACACGTGAACAATGGAGTTTGCGTATTTAAGTCCCATAACCGCACAGTGGTGTCGCCTGATCCACTTGCCAACTGGCGTCCATCTGGACTAAACGCTACAGAAAGCACTGCCTCTGTATGACCTGAAAATACAGAACCATATAGGGACAATGAAAATATAGACGAGATTTTTCAACTATCTCCTACATTAAGTTCGTATATGTATGCCACCAAAAAAAACAAGACACTGCATTACTTGATACATTTAAGGCGCTTCAAGAAGCCTTTCAGTAAATCTACAGAAATTAGAATGGTAAAAAAAAAATACATAAAGAGCTCTATTTCCATAGAGCACACATCTGAACAATGCCCAATTACATTATTAACTTGCACAAATTGACTGGCATATGTACATGCAAGCAACAAAATAATTTTTCATACCAGCTATAGTCGAAGAACAGCGAGTTACAGGCCGTATTCTAAATACTGCTTGGGGCTGGTAAACTATTGTGAGGACTTTTTCCACAGACACTGCACAAGAATAACCAAGTTTTAGCAACCCATTTGCTGTAATAGTGCTGCAGAATTTGATGGAAAGTCCTCACCTTTATTCTTCTGAAGGTATGTTCCTAACTGCACTACAAGTTCACTGTCTGATACATAAAATGCATAGGGCAATTTTTCCTCCTGCAATGGATCAGGCCCATAAACAAATCCAATCCATTCAACATGTGTGTGAGTGTACGCTCACAATTAAACAACCAACAGCACTTAACCCAGTATGTGGAAGAACTAAAAGTCCAACATGACAAATTTGGCACGAAAAATTGAAAATTTTGCAAACCCATCTTCATAAATTATGTTCAGATTGCACGAGAACTTACGTTGTTGAGTAGCTTATTGACCAGCTGCTGGAGCTCCTTCGGGCCGGCGCTTTCCGGTAGGAAAATCGGCGCTCCTAGAGGAGTACCTTCTGAGTCCGTCAGCTGACATATCACGCGATTGGTTAATTCCCTTTCTTCCTCCATAGCTACAACTTCAGCCCCAGCCGCTGATGCCACCTCCATTTTCTTCCCCTGAGTTTAACTGGAAATTGGGGATATTTTCCTGTATTGTTCTGTGAGAGGCAGATTAGGGTTTAGAGGGGTTTTGACTTTGGAATCGCACTTTTGACTCTTGATTCTGGCGTAGTGGCGTGTTTGGCGTCCGAT